TATTCCCCCTCAGATAAATTGATACTGTAAGTCCATGCATCAACTTTGCTGCTCACAGTTCCCTAAATATCAAGGTCCATTTAATTTGTCCTTTTATTTGGCAAGAGGATAACTCATTTGCCTCTTAGGCTGCAGCTGCTCGGCCAAGGCTTGCAAGAGCCTGTACAGGAAGCCTCAGCAGCAGCAAACGGCAGTAGAAAAAGCAGTTTGTTCTTCATCCACTGGTGAGGTAAATAACAGTATTTATGCCTGACTTCCCCCACATCATGTAACAGCCAACACAACCACCTGAGCTTGGCATATACATTAGTATATATTGGTTAAGTTGGGGAAGAGCACTAATAAATACATTCCCAAAAGGCAAAATCTGGGTTCGAAATTTAGAACTACAAAACGGAGCAAAAACCTGATCACAAACTTACCGAGTATTCTTCAGGAAAGTAGGGTTATGTGCTGGGATACTTCCTCACTAGTGATTCACACCTTATTTCTATTTATATATTTGTATGTGTTTCTATGTCTGCTTCCTGGTGAATCACGTTTTTGGGATCCTCTGAGCTGGATGTGTGGTATTTGTGCTCCAGTATTGCACAATCGACACCTTCTATTTGCTCCTGAATAATTTAGCGTGAAGGGTTTCATTTGGTGTACTGAGGTATCCGAAGATGTAGTACAGTAATCTTTCCAGGCAGCCCAGGCAAGAGCTCCTCTGACTCGGTTTTAGCCCCGTGACTCCTACAGCGGGATTTGCTTCAGAACCCTCACCCTGTCCTGTGAAGGGAAACAAAAACCCTCAAGCAAAATATGCTTATTGCTACACTTGTTTTTCCTGGTTTTGTAGTCTTTTATTTTGACCTCTGCTTTTTGGATCAACCGAAATATAGTTTTGCCCCGGCTTCTTCTCAAAATTATTGATTATTCAAGAAGAAGAGAATGAAGAGAGCAATATAGGATCGCTGCGTGCAGAAAGCTTCCTCGGCGTCAGAGGTACCTCGGTTACCAGCCGAGGCAAAGGGGATGTACCGTTCTGTCGCCGCACACGAGGTTAAACAGGGCTCGTACAACACACGGACATCCAGCACGCATGGTAAAAGCACTTCTGTTAGGAATATGCAGTAGCAGAGGTTAAGTTTACATGAAAAGAGAGTAAATTACATCCAGAAGAGCTGAAATATGCTGTGTGTATCACAACTGGTTCACCACTGCTTGACAGAAGCATAGTATCTAAAGGTCATGTACTGCAGCCTGTGATTGCGTGATAATTAGCTGTACACCGTAGTCCTCAGCCCAGTACGAACCCCTGGTTTCATCACAGCTCAGTGACCATCAAACAAACACATGCTACTCCCAAGGGGGGAAATGGGATTAGACGCAGTTTAACTCGCACGAGACTTCTGAGCCCCTGACTCCCACTTAAGTTTTCCTCCAGTCTTTTGGGCTGCGTTACACCAAGTTGTAGGGTTATTCTGAAACCTGCTGTGAAGTCCGTGGGAGTCTGTCTCTTCATCACAACTCAGTGACCATCAAACGAACACATGCTACTCTCCCCAAGGGGGGAAATGGGATTAGACGCAGTTTAACTCGCACGAGACTTCTGAGCCCCTGACTCCCACTTAAGTTTTCCTCCAGTCTTTTGGGCTGCGTTACACCAAGTTGTAGGGTTATTCTGAAACCTGCTGTGAAGTCCATGGGAGTCTGTCTCTGCACGAAGGGAAAACAAACATAGTTTATCTCCTGCGAGACAACAGGTGTTATGTTTATGTAAACCCTTATTCTAGATCAAAATCCATGTGGTTTGTGCTCAAAAGGCTTCTGGAACAAAATAAACATGTTGCACACTACAGGTATTCTCGCATCCATGATTTTCCATTTGCTAGCCTATCTCATGAAAGTTTCTGTTATCAGAAGAAATTTAGAACATTGTAGTATGTAGAAATATATCCGTGGCTGCAGTAAATTCTGCGTTCCAGATTTTTTTGGGGGGGAAAGAAATGTAACTCTGAAGTTACTAGTCTTAAAATACTACTTCCTAATCTCTCTGCAGAGAGAAAAGCAGTAAGTCAAAGAAGAGAGTAAATGCTTACACTTGGCTTAGTCTCTGTGTATAAACCTCTAAAAGCACGTTCTTGTACGTAAAGTGCTGGCAGACCCTGTGCTGCTTCATACACCTTATTTGCAAACCACCTTGCTCTAACACATACCCTTATCCACAACAGTCCTGATACTGAGACTAGCCAAGGGCTCTTAATCCTCATGCACAGATACTTTATCCTATTTCTTCTCCTTTGATGCAAAATTACCAATGCATCCTTTCTGAAGACTTGATGTGTTATATTGCAATTCTGCAGCAAAAGTAATTAGAGGTGTACATATAAAATACGTATGTGTAGCTATATTGACATATAGAAAGAGTGCATGCCAGGTTGTAATTTGAAATATATCTACCCATTTTTACAGACCAAAAGACTCCCACTATTCCTTATTTGGTGTAAGAAAAACAGAAGTGTAATGAATAATAATAAACACGTATAGTCTTCCAAAAAAAGGCAGTAAATAGGAAGTACCAAATGTGAGCACCAGCTACACCAAACAGACACACATCTAGTACACTCCCCAGATACATCTGTGAATTAAACAATTTCAGCCAGAAATAAGAAAAAATCCAGAGGACTTCTTTAAATTGGGACAATTATGTAGGAAAATGGATGGGAAGAGAGAACATGAACACCTTTTTGGCACTGTTGTCCAGATACAGCTGTGAAATATCTAATGACCATACCCCATCATTTCTAGATTGGTGAAAGTGTAAAGAAAAACCAAGCTGATTTGTTATCAGTCTTTTCATAACCCATCTATAAAGGAAAAAAATTCCTTTTGAGATTTTTCTGTTAAAAATCCAGTCGAATTATTTACCTTCAGGACAGAAGGCAAAGCCTTAGGGCGCGATCATTTCTGTTACGTGTCAAAGCTGCATGTAAGTGTGCGTTCTGAACTGTACTGACTGTATATATTCTAACTGGACTGGTATTAAATACTTCTTTTTCCTAAATTATCAGGACGGATTTCCAGTATATTAAATTAAATTGAAATGACAGGACGTCTCCAACATCAACAATAAATAGGGAAATTCAGGCAAAAATTCATCTTGGACCATTAAAGACATACGTAGGTAGGAGTAAGAATTTCACTGCAATTCCACTAAAAATAAGGAATAGTGATTGAAAATTCACCTAACAGCGATATTTTACAACATTAAAGACACGAACAAGAGCTTCACTGCAATTCCAGGGAAACGGTTAGGTTAGCTGTAGCATTTCAAAGCGCTGCAGTGCGGGAGCTTTGGGATGTCCCCACCTCATCGCTGCTGACTGCATTCAAGATGCGCCTTGAGTACTGACGCTTAGAGTTTAACTAGCTCCAAGCAAATCTTGCCGTGTGCCTGCGAATAATCCGCTTCATCACCTCTTAATAAATTGGAAAACTCTCACTATCTGCCTTTAAATATTATTTGTTGAAAGATGAAAATCAATAAGGTAATAACCCTATTTAAACTTACTAGTCTCTCTTCCTCTTTCTGTTAAGCTAAATTTAGAGCCTTCCCGGCATAAAAGCACATACAAGCAGAAATGTGGTGGTTCTGTTACACAGGCACATCTGTATTTCGCTTGCGACAGCGAACGGGTGAATTTACGGGTCACAACATTATTTTCTCAGAAGACAATTAAGTTTAGGAAGTTAGAACCATGCATAATAAACATTTTGAGATGTGGTCCAGTTACTGTTTGAAGGTAATCTTTGTTACAGAAATCAGAATCCTAGCATTTTATAGACACTATAGCCAAGCTAAATACCCAGCTGGAGTCCTTTTATTATGGCATTTTGTTACATATCCTTAAAAAAACCCACCCTTCCCATAAGAACTACTGGAACCGATGGGATTTTGAAAAACACAGATGTTAAAAATGTTGTTGGATAAAAGAATTACTGGTCTGTTTTCTTCTTCCTGCATCTGAAAGTGTCTTATTAACAAGAAACCAAGATAATGCTCTGGGGAGGGGACGAAGGAATAAAAGATCTGTTTAACAGAAGAAACATGCATTTCACTTGATACTTAAAACCCCTTCAATTTTGTATGAGTTACTTTGACATGCTTTTTTTTTTTAGCCTATCTTCACAGATTATTAGAATTTTTCTGAAAGGTGTTAAAGCACTTTGTAATTCCCAACTCAATTTAGGGTGCCCCCAGAGTTTATATTTGTGTGAAACCCCAAGTGGTAAACAGAAAAACTCGTATCAAGTGACAAAACCCTCAGGTTGTCCTCACTGAGTACAATCCATCCTCCTGCAGCCGTGAAAGGTTAGCCAAAACTGAGATCAGCTACGGGAAGCTCGGCTCTCTTGGAGGTTACTTTAGAATTATCTGCTCAGAGGATGTATGAAAATTACCATTTCTCACTTAGGCTTTTAGTTATGCCAGACTAGGGCAAGTTCAGTCTCGTTGTCCGAGTGCAACGGGGGCATCTGGACCCCAAGTCACTGTTTAGAAGGGGAAGGTCTCTGACTGGTGACTACAGTTTCTCCTTCATGTTCCCCATCCAGCAAAGCTTTTAGCAGCAATGAGATATAACGCTGATTTCTGTATACGCTACGCTCCTCCTATTTACAAAGCAGCTTTACATTTTATTATATTCCATTGTACAACTTTACACAGTACCGCTATCGTTTCAATTCATAGTCCAGCGATTCAATACACATTTGGATAACTGCCTTCCCGTGTCCTGTCACACATTCAGCTTACAAAAAAACCCCAAAAGTAGAAAACAAGCACAGTGGTGCAATGTCCAGGCACTTTCAATGTCGCTCAGCAAACTAAGCAAGCACCCTGTCTGAAAGCACGGCAACGTTTTTTGGGGGGTGGGGAGGGAAAAAGCATCTTCGCTCATCATGGAGTTTTTAAACATCCTTTATACAGTTCCAAGTATTCCTGAGAAAACTCTGTAAAATATGACTGATATGTTTATATTTCAGCAGTGGGTCTGAGTGAACAGTAACTTCCATCACCGGATGTGCCGCTGATGGCACAGAAGACGTGTATGGAGTCATGCATCCATGGTGAGTGCATTGTGTCTTCATGGTAGATCTAGACAAAACACAATAATCACAAATTCAGTAAGAGTTTCTATTCGTTATTCTAATCAAGCTGTTCAAAAAGGTATGCAAAAGAGATATCCAACCTTGTCTTCAAAGCTGTTTCGCAAAGGCAGCATAACAAAGAAATGAGAGAGAGTCATTTAGCAATTTCTGTAGCATTCATATATACACTGTCCTGTGTATTCCTGGATCATTTTTAGTTACAACTAGCAGTATAGGAAAGAAACAATTCTCTGTATAGCTATTTTTTAATTATATCTTAGCAGTAGCAGAATTCTACATTTTTTTTGCGAAGCACGGGCAGTACCTGCAGCTCACACAGCAAACACTCACCACCTCCGTGCGATCCAGCAAGATTTTGTACTTTATAGCCCAAAGGATGGCCTTACAGCACAGGATCCAACTGGGCCAGTAGAGATGCTCTACAGCTGACTGTGTATTGCTTTTTCAGCCCGTGGTTCACCCGTCAACAAGTAAGTTAGCCTGAATTTACATGAGCGAAACTGAGATCACTGGCCAGTTTCTGGACATCCAGTTTTCTGCCACTCTCCAAGGCTTCCCGTTCCTGTTCAGCTGAAGTTTATCAATTTTTTGTGTTTGCATTTCCCTAACTCAAAAGATCTGTAGACAGGTGACGGGCTGACCCAGCGAGTTACCCATCTGACTTGCTGTCTCAAACTAAGTGCACTGCCTGTGTTGTGTTGGGGCACTGACAGTATTCAGAAGAGCGTGTGTTATTTGCAGTGAGAATCCTAAAATAATCTAATATGCTTTTTATGTTTAACTGAGTAATTCTGTAGAAGAGGAAAACATGTTGCATTAAGTCTGATTTGTTACTGAGGTCATTTGACTGCAATTCAAAGTTCAAGCCAGCAGTTATCTACATAGAGCTGTATGACAATAAAGAACAGTGCTCGTAAACATGATCTTATAAGCTGTCTTTTGATCTCATACAAGAAGAAAGTGGAAACTATATCCTTCCCAGTGAGCTCTTCTCTGACATTTCAGTTGCTGTAACATTTTGCCCATTAACCAAACGTGCCAGTGGATTTGTAAACCTATCAAGATAATAGGGAGGGTGCTTTAACAATGCTTCTTTGTTCTAAGATAATCTTAACTATTGTACTGCGATGGTGCAGAACTGAGTGATTTGGTTTTGATTTGACTATTGCAGAATTCAGAAACCACAAAAGTTCCAGCAGCTGCATGCAAATTAAATGTCTTGGAAAGGTTTACTTGCAAACAGCTTAGAGTAAGCAGGTGGCAACTCCTATGAACGAACATCTCTGAGCAAAATTCAGCAGTGGAGTACACATGGGAGGTAATGTACATGAACCAAATGAGTGTGCCGAATGTGCAAAATCAGTAGTTTGCACACGAAGGAAATGGTGGTCATGAGCAGCACAGCAAGGGAACCTACCAAAAGCAAGGGGGATGCAGCAGTCACTTATTCTCAAACGGATCCTCCCTTCTACTCCTACAACAGAACCGAGCCCCATCATGAGACTGTTTCCCTGAAATGATATTACACTCTTCCACCAGACAAAACTCTATTTGATTCCCACAAACATAATCTTATTGTAAACAAACCTAATTTACAAAGAGCAGCCTGGTGCAGTTGTATTATTTTGCCACTCGCACGTTTTGGCGTTCGTTTGAACAACTGCTCAGTTTGTTGTGGAATTCGCCCATATATTTTTAGTGACTTAAAAACGTTCCATTTTTCATTAACGGTCACACACGGACTGTATGTGGAGTAACTGGGAGAAAACATTCTTCCAAATTTCAGGTACTGTGAATCACAATGCAGTCTGTACCGTTCTCCTTATGTGCTCGATACTAGAAATTACAACAAGCCTTCTTCTGTCATAATGAAGGCAAAATTAGAGTAGAGGTATGGAGATGACTTCAGAATGCCAGTTTTCATCTAATTTCACAGATTGATACTAGTTAGAGTGTGCAACTCTTCTTTGAATCTCTCACCTCTCCAGTGCTACTATTCAAATGTATTTTCCTAGAAAGATCCAAGAAAACATTAAAACGTAGGTCAGACAAACTAGCCTAAATATTTTAGCAGTGCATATAAATAGCATGTTGGCATTAGGCCAAAATTAAATGAAAACATCCTTTGATGAAAAATAATAATAATAAAAAAGGAAATTAAGCCGGATATAACTGAGGAAACTGAAATTTTGCCAGAGAACTTCAACCTGTGACTTGTCACAGGATTCGTACGATGTAGAAAACATGAGGCAAAACATGGCACGGGATTTCAGAGGACCGCGGCGGGAGGAAACTAACGGGATGTGTCAGCGAAGGCTCCCCCCTTGAAGCACACTGTATACCACCACCAGGCTGAGGCTTTCCATCAGCAGAAACTGGTTTTAGGAATCCACCAAGTGTATCATTTACTTCTCAGGTTCAGTGAGTTGCCTTCTTATATTTAGCTAAATAACATGAAGAGTGGTCAAGATTCAATTAGTTTTCAGTCAGTTTTCAGCATTAGCTAGCTTTCAAGCACAGAGAACCTCTGCGGGTTTCTGACATGCAGTACGTGCCTGTTCGTGGATGATGTCAGAAAGCTCCTTCACCATATCCCGAAAATTTGACTTTAGCCCCTCATGGTACTCCACTTGATCCTCCTTAATGAGTCGCTCGTTGAGCTCCAGAGCAATTCCACAGGCTTGTATAAACTTCCTGGGGAGGAAATGAATGAACTTTGGGCATTATAATAGCCCAGTCTTCTACCAAAGCAAACAGACAGGCAAATCTCTCTTCCCCCCGACCTCCCCTCTCCTTTTCTCCAGTGTTTGGGACAAGTCACATTCTAGGAGCATCCCTGGCACAGTGGATCAGTGAATGGGGAGGGACTGCAACACAGGTATCGGGCTTCCTGCCGGAGGTCCTTCAAGCCTGGATCCTCAGCAGATGGGACACGCGCATCTGCGGTGCCACACACCGGTCCTGCACCTTCACCCTGACCTGCAGGACCACCCGCGGCTTGCGGGTCCCAGGTAAGGCCAACGAGCTGCACACAGGGCCACCAAAACAGGGGCAGGCCATGGTCAGGCACAGAGAGGAAATCAATCGGACAGGGCTGGACAGATGTGGATGCACGGGGTGCAGCTCGGGCGCTTGCTTGAGAGGTCAGTGCCAACAGCAGACACACCCTCCAGAAAGAAATATAGATCACGGGGAGCTGTAACATTCTCGTCTTGGTTACTGTTTTCTTCGCTTCATTTAACAGGCGTATTTCTCCTTTTTAATAGACTGCAATGAAAATACAAGCACGACTGGGATTTTTCCGGGATTTTTTGCATGACAGAGATTGTGTTTATCCTTCTGGCTGCACTGCAAGGCTGGAAAGTAAAACTGCCTGCCCTCTGTTCTGCATGCATGCGTGGCTGGTTTGCAGGGATTGTTCCCTCGTTGTTCCATGGATTGCTAGGTTACTGAACACACTGAAGGAAAATAGGATTAGCCCAAATGCTGCCTTCTAATGGGTTTAAACTGAAAGTGGGGAGATTTAGATTAGATATCAGGAAGGAATTCTTCCAGGAGAGGGTGGTGAGGCACAGGAACAGGTTGCCCAGAGAAGTTGAGGATGCACCATCCCTGGAAGTGTTCAGGGCCAGGCTGGATGGGGCTTTGAGCAACCTGATCTAGGGAAGGGCCATGGGCATGGGGGTTGAACTGGATGGTCTTTAAGGTCCCTTCCAACCTAAACCATTTTGTGATTCTCCATAGAGTGACAGATGGGCAAAATGGGAGTCACCAGCACCCAATAATGAATGCAGGAGCTGGCGGGCGACTGGTTGCTCCTGAGAAGTCCAGAAAATAACATGGCAAAGGCTCATCATCCTCCTGAAGTGAAGCAGGAGCTGCCTGATTATATCTTGGTGGACACTTTCAAGTGGGAGGTAAAACCTACCCTAAGGGACAGGAGTTAGAAAAATGTCTGTGCAAGTCACATAGTTTCAAAAAGTAGCAACAGAAACAAGAACTATGTAAATAGGGAAGGGATTTGCTTTAAAATATTTCAAGTTCATTGTTTAGTAAAAAATCCCCTTGGAAAGATTGGGAAACAGTGCACAACATGAATGATCCCTCAACACAACACTGTCAGACCTCTGGTTTTCAAACATACTTTCTTCACATAATAACCTCACATACTGACACAAACCGTTGAAGCATGTGTTCAAGCAAAACTCCCCATGGAAATCACAGCTCTGAGCTTGGGAACTCTTTACATATGTAGTTACATTGCCTTTTTTCATATGTCTGAGCACCCACAACCCTGTGAGACCTGATCTTTATAAGGCACACCTAAGCATTCAGAATCTGCTGATTTTGGAGACAGACAAAAATATAAGCAAAGCAAGTGCCGCGTTTATGCCAGCTGGCTACAGTTCATTACATTAGAAATCCTACCTGAACATTTCTTTTAATTCATTCACCTTCTTCGTAGGATATTTGCTGGACTGGCTGTCACTTAAGAAAGCTCTGGCATAGGCCAAGGGACCAGCATTAACCTGGAACCAAAGAAGAAAGAAATTATTTGTTCTAGAACTTCTGTTGAGTTGCTAAAGGCAGGTGTGAAGGGAACAACTTTTTTTTTAAAAAGACCCCCAGAGTTAGAATATTATTGAATGCCACCAACTCTGCACTACTAATGTCCCTGGAGGCACCTGAAGTTTCAAAAGTTGGGTATTAGTTTTTCTGTCTAGTTTTTTAAGACCGAAAGATAAATGGAGATAAACAGAGAGACGCAATCTGTTTCCTCATACTTTCCTCTTGCTTCTGTTTGGAAAAGCAGTATGGTGTGAGTCTTAGGGCCATTTATTCAGCTTGAGAAGTCAGGCTTACGAAAAGGTTCCTTGTGCCTGATGCTTACAGTACAATCCTGAAGAGTTAGGTATGTTTCAGCATTCACCCGTGCCCAACTAATGCGGAATTACACTTGAACGTGACGCTGTAAACACCACTGGACAATGCTTATTACCAGGAGCCACCTGCCAACACGTCACCGTATGCGGCAGGGCAGGCGGCGCTGGCAGGCGGATGGCTGCGGTGCTGCGAACGAGGTAGTTAATGATTTCTGGAAAGTAAATGTGTCGTGAAAAGATGACTCACTCCAAGATGTGTATATAAACGCAGTTTTGAACGGACATCAAGCCTTACCTGCACAGAAACACAGCCTTGCAATTTGAGTTGCAGCTGGATCATGTCCACATCCCCAGCAGAGCAGAGTTTCTGCAGCTCTGCTGTCTTGTCTTTTATTTCATCCGTAGCGACGTCAATTGGTTTTAAGTTAACCTGATGTTCATAATTGACGGGGATTCTCTTCTTTACATAGGGAAAGGAGTTCAAAGCTACCAGAAACAGCAAAGGAAGTTTACAGATTGGAAAGTCATGCCGCAAATAGGAGTACACTTCATAGAACATTCACAGGCAGATCCTTGTCCTCAGGGTTTTACTCGGTGTGTATGAAATCCCGAACAAGGCTACAATTTACCATCACGATTCATTCATTTGTAAAAATTAGCACATAGAAATATAAGGTAAATTCCCCCTCCCAACCAGAACATTGTATCACAATTCTGATAAAGTAGCTAAGAGAATTTCTAACTCTTTCATGATATTTTTATGAGCTAAAATAGTCGCTGATGTATACTGTCTCATGTTCAGATGCTTGTACTTACTAGTGAGAATGGTCCTTTTTTTACACTGTTCTTCCACACTGCCATGCTTTTTTCCAGATAAAGTGTAAGGAGTTTCAAATACAAATCTGTTGATGTTATGATTTCGTTCAAATTCCGTCTTTCTTTCAGAGATTTCTTTGTCTTCAAAATAGGGCTTCACATAAGTCACTTGAATATGGGCATACTTAGGATCAAGGTCTTTAATGTTGACCTGTGAAATAAGAGGGTTACTCACTAGAAGAGCAAAGGTTAATAACTTAACTTATAATTGGTAAATTTATCTACTGGGATCTGATTTGAACTGATTCCCTGCTGACCCAGCCCCACTGCATGCAGCTGAACAACACACAAAACACTCCCTTTGACCTCAGCTCTGATGGCAGACACGCAAGACAATGAGGTGTGGCACAAGAAATACCTCATCTGGGGTCAAACAAGCTGCATCTGGAACAGGAAGCTGTATCGCCTTCTCAATCAATGCAGCACATACCTGAGCTACTCAGTCCTTCTTACATGACCACACTGCTTCCAGGGCATGAGCTAGCGTTCACGCAGCACTCTGCTGTGCCATGCAAATCTGCGCCCCTGCACAAAGCCAGCGCTGGGATAACTGGTATTGTCTTCAGTAACCCAGACACATCCAGAGTTGCAACTAAAGGGTGTGAACAGCCCTTGCAGGGAACATAAATGAGTATTCAATAGGAAAAGGAAGGAGCTACGGCTGCAAAGGCACAAAGATCTTCTTTTAGACTTGCAGCGTCAAAGCAACAAGTAACTCTGCCAAAACTTGTCCAGCTGCGCGTGTCCACACAGGAGGACGAGGATGCGAGGGGCAACTGGAAGCAAGGTGATTGTCAGAGGGTAGAAAACAGGGCCCACTCCTCCATTCCTACTGGCAGAAGGAAGGGATGCTCTGCCATCTACCATCTTCAACTCCCCAGAGCAAAGCTCATGCTTCGGTGCTCCATTTGCACAGCGCTTAGAGCAGTGCAGTCCCAGGCCCTGAACAGTATTAGAATAAAATTGCTATTTTTGTCACACTCATCAGAGCACTCTCTAGCATGTGTGGCCCTGATGTTCACTGCTAATAGCGTTTCATTAGCTTGTCGCGCAGTTTAACTCTACCTTGTTAGAATCCTGGATAATTTTTACAGTCTCCGACCCAAATTTTTCTCCATAAAGTTTAAGAAGTCTGAAGGAGATCTCTGAGAGGCCTGTCAGCTTCGGTTCCTTATAGATGTATTCCTTCCCATCTTCTTCTTCAAAGAAGGTCTAGCATTAATCACAAACAAGTAGTGAGGAATGGCTGGGTTTCTTTGCTTGGAAAACTTCATTTTAGATCTCCTTCTTTGAAAGCAGCTTTCTACTAACATTTCAGAAATTCAAGAAGGTTTAGGAGGCTATGGCTTGCATAAAGTCTGAGTGAACTTGGCCTGTTTAATAGGTTCCTTCAGAAAATGTGTAAATCCCTCAACAAACACAAAAACGTCATTGCTGAGCACATAAGCTGGAGTATAACCACTGAGGAATGTAAACAATGTAGAAGAGGGATTTGGCCAGTGGTTGACATATAGGAAGTTTGGAAAGAGGCAAGCGGGAGAAAAAACCACAAAAACAAGGCACAGAGAAAGAGCAGAAAGACATATACACTGAAGAAACCCTGACAGCAAAGCCACAAAAAAAAGTGTGAAAAGCAGGATTTTATGTAGGCTGAAAGGGACTTCAAGCAATAAAGAAAGAAATGTGTTTCCTCTCCTCTGATACCTCTTGTATTCAGGGAAGTGGAACCCAATGTATTTGCTGTAAATCGAGACAGAATTGCATTAAAGGTTGTGCCGGCATCCTCAGTCCTCCCTGTAATGGAAGCATCATGAAAGCTTCACGCTTCGGCAAGCTGTCTCAGTCAGAGGTTGTGATGGAGTGTAAAACTGTCTCTGTGCAGCTGGCACATAAAGCCAGCAAAGCTTAAAGTGTGTAACTGGATCAAACATTGATTGTCAGGAATATGCGTTAAATAGCTTTATTTTAGGGGCTGATTCATTTATTTATACAGCTTCTTTCTACAGACAACCAAACTAGCAGTTGTTTACTTTTATCTACTGCTAACCTTCTTTACTTTTTACATATCCAAAGTTGAAGATAAGATGAGGACAAAAATAAAATGTACATTTGCAGCAGGCAAAGTCAGTGCTCCAGTATGCTGTGTGTGTAGTGACAACGGTGTTCAAAGGTACAAACCCAGGATGGTTTCAGGGGTATTCATCATCATCTCTAAAAGAAGGAACCAGGAAAGGCAGGGCTAATATCATTTGCATAACATTTTCTAAAGAGGAGTGCTGCATCTCCCCCATGGTTATGGGTCCACAGGCAGAAGCAGGTCATTCAGAGACACAAGGGAGATGAGTGGTGACACAATTTATTAGGAAAAAAAAAAAAAAACAAGAGAGAAAAACCACAGCTGCTTTCACACTCAGAAGACACCATCAGATACGAGAAGATCACGCTCCTTCCTGGGAGTCCCAGCCACGGATCTTGTCCATTTCTCCAACTACCTCAGCTAATAAAAAATACCATCTATCTCTACAAGCATGTAACCAACACTGATCCATATTTTACCTTCAGCTTCTCCAATAACCTTTTACTCGACTAAAATCTAGAAGGGAGCAGCAACTCTCTGTCAAAGAAAATGTCTCTTACCACTACTGTTTACATACTACAGTTATATACTATTACTGGTTACATACTATACACACCAAATTGTGTTTGTGTAACTTATAATAACTATAATTACAAAAAACCCCGGTGTTTTCTGAACCCACTAAGCCATTTCCTAACTGCTGAGCTGTTTCATGAAAATCCCACCACCAGAATCATAAGCTTAATAATAAATCAAGTGCTCTGGAGAGAGACAGAAACCCTCCCCTCAAGGGTGCAATACCGAAAGGTTCACAGAGACAGGCCAGTGCCTGCACCAGAGCAGTGTGCCGGCTTTTCAGCGGCAGGTCTGACAGAGCAGCAGCTTTAGGGGCCAGGATGCCCCGTCAGGCGTAGCAGATGAGCCAGTGTATACACTTACTTGTCCATAAAAGGCCACTCTGAAAAAGGTTCCAAGAAGCCTCTTCCTCGTGTGCATTACTTCCAATATCTTAGCATATGCTCCATGAAGCGTTCTGTACAGCTGAGTAAGTTTCTGGAAATCAAATCTTGACATCACTAAAGCAGAATTTTGCAAGCAGGAAGTTTTAGCTGACACTGGAAGCTACTGAGATATCTGAACACAATCCTTTGGAGAATTCAAACTGGAGTTTCTAAAGAGCTTGAGCTCATGCAATTTTCTTTGAGAAACGTCACTGTTAAGCACATGATTAGCTTCAGGTCTGAGAGGTACCACAGACTGCAATAACACCACTAGCCTTAGAGAGAAGGCTGGGCCTCCTGTCTCAGCACGTTCCCTGATGGAACGTTTAACAGTACAGCAGCTTACAGTATTTTTACCCAGACATTCTTTTCTGATTAAAACCAGCTTTATGATGAAAAGAGAGATCTAGGCTTCCTCTAGCGTCAATTACATAGTTGGATGCTGTCCTGATGTGGATGGGGTCATGGGAGCGGGAGGGAAACTATTCAGCAGCCCAGCAAGAGCTCCGCCGAAGCACGGGTCAGAGCAGGAGTTGGAAGGAGCAAGGCAGAGGGCTGGTAACAGCTTCCTTCCTTCCTCTCTCCCCACTTGCCTCTGTGGTACCTGCAGTTCTATTCCTTTCTTTGAACAGTTCTCACTCTGCTTTTAATCCTTAAAATGCTCAAGTCTCAAAAATAAACTGGCTTTAATAAGCATACGGGATGAGAACAGCTTTATTTTAGGGGAAGGAAGGTGGGAACTATTCACTAAATATAAGTCTTCCATGTCATTAGCTTTAATAATTAACCTCCAGACCATTGCTTTCACTAATTTGTTTAATGATCAGCAATGACGCACAGTGTGTGCTTTACACCAATTCATTAACTTGTAACTTCAAAAAATAAAAAAGCCTTCTGTTGCTTTTTTTTTTCCCCTTAGCAATCTAGGAAATTACCCAATAGATGCAAACCAGTGCAAAATGCTTACCTCAAATTCACGTCTCTTTTCATAAATAGGAATGATCAGTTTGGAAACTTCAGAAATTGTTTCATAACGCTCTGCTTTCCACAGGCCATCTACACACTGTTCCAGCAGCTCCACTAAGACTTCCTACCAAAGCAGCCAAACAGGTGGTGTTAATAACAGTCAAAGTCAGAAGATCAAACCGTTTTAACTTCAGATATTTCAACAGGTCCTGATATAAGTAGCCACGGTTACATAAATTTAAGCCCTGTGTGTTTCTGGCCTTTACAAAGGTATTCTAAATTTGGGGGGGGGGGAAGAAAAAGGAACAAGTTGTTTTTAGAAGTTCATTCATTCTTTGTAAATCATGAGCACAGCAGGCAGCAAGTACGTCTTGGTTATCTAGGTGCCTCCCCAAAAGAATGCCAAAAGTCTGGGAGGGTATGGAGGCGACAGCACTGGAAGTCAGAGGTACATGTCTACGGAACAGGTCCAAGGAAAAGGAGTGCAATAGCAGTGGGATGTGATGCTAAGGATCCTCAAGCCTAGTCTTGATGAATGGGTAATTGGGCCGCTGGGCTGCAGGGCCACCTTGCTCAGCCACCAAGGCCCTCCCAGCGCACTGGTGAAGAAGTAACTGTGAGATTTCATGACTCACAGGGAAGATCTACCCCCCTCCCCAGTGCCTTGCTATGGTTTCTGGATTGTTCTGCTAACGTGGTGTCCTGCAGCACAGCCCTAACTCAGGGGAACCCAGGCTGACCTCTTGCTCGGCAGAGCTTGACTTGCACTCGCCCTCCTTGGAGATACCACGCTGCGCTGCCCTGTGCTGGCAGAATTAACATTTGCATAACGTGGCAGGCAAAGATCATGGTGTAGTTTTTTCAGTCTCAGTGCCAGAAAAGCCTTTAAAAGGAACCAAAAAATTACACCCGATTTACCTATCTGAATTGCACACAACAATCCTTCAATGCAGTTTTCTCTTGGGGAATTCCCACGAAACAGTCTTCCTTTCAGATGCCAGTGCACATGTACAATTTGTTAGGGTTCATGCAAACAAAGTTTAAAACTAAATCCTAATCAGCTATCAAATATCCTGTAGTCCATTCTACAGAACGTCACCTCACTGTAATGTACATCCATCATCCCACCATCTTCTTTCATTGCACCTTCTTCATCGATGTTGGGAGTGATTTTCCTGAAGGCAGTGCATCCACTGGGGAAGAGTTCTGTAGCAGACAAAAGAAAATGGATTAGTGGAGTGACATATCTCAAATGTCATGCTTCAATGGCCAGGGAAGCAGTCTGGCTGATAGCAAAGTCCTACAAGTAGCAGGGAACCAGGCTCTAATTTTTGCTAGTGATTTGCTATATGAGACTGAACGCGTCACAATCTCCCCAGCCCTTTGCCGTGGGAGTCATTCCTAGTACATAAATAACACACCAAACACAACAGATTTCCCAGTGTGCAATCTAGAAGTCATCTTTGAAAAACCTAATGGGCTGCAAACAACTGAAAGTCAGGAGAGAGGGACAGGGCTATATTTTTGCAGAGAAGATGTAAGGTGAAGGCTATCGCTGGATGCTGGAGAGCTGGGTAGGAAGTGAACAGGACGGTATACTCCTAGTAGAAAGCACAGTTTTTTATGTACCCTGCATCTTTGAGTAGTTCAGCCTTCACTGAACCCTTTCCAGCCTACGTATACGTAAAGAGTGGCAGTGACAGAGATAACTCAATATATTCACTTGACATTCCTTTGGATTTGTTCCTCTTCTTTTTGTTTTTTTTTTAGAAGTTCTCCTTTGCCACTGGTTGTGGTAAGCAGCCTCCAGGGTACAAACAAAGAATTGTCAGCTTTCGATACTCTTCCCTCTGCAGCCATGTGAAATGTGTGTACGTAACAGAAAAACGAGTCCTGATTTTTCCCACTTAGCCAACACAACGTACAGAATTTGGAAGGACTCCAAGTCTCGTGAGCAAGGCACTTAAGACTTTTCCAGCCAAGGCAGTGCGTGGAATCAGCTTTAGCTGTCTGAAATGTTGTGTCCGTTTCAACAATTATGCTCTTACGTGGAAATGAGAAATGGGGGGAATATATCAACCGTGGAACAACTATTTAAAAGAAAACCTGCAAAGTGGTGTTATTTGAGAACACACAAGTCTGTCCTTCCTTCCTTCCTGTTTTGCATTAGACCACACACTATGATGTGTTGTTTCTGGTTGGTCTTTACATATTGTATAGTTAGGCTGTACTCTCCTTTTTTGACTGCATTTTGATGGCTTGATTCTATAGTTTTCAGTACCACCTATAGTGATACTTCTGATGAACATATCGACAGCCATTTTTTAACATGGGCTTTCCCTGCGAGCACATTTCCTAATGTAAAATACAACTGAACATTTAAACCGAGACACGATGTGTCAGTTCTTATTTTACTCAGCAAAGTGCCAACATGACTGTCTCAGCAGACCTGTCCAGCCTAGTAAATGCCTGTGTTTGAACTCTTGCCCTCCTTTATTAAAAAATACTCATCTTCTTCTAGCTTTATCCATTGCATTATTTTTTTTTTCTTTTAGCTTGTTTCTAAAATAATGATTTACCAAATCGAGAGAAACTTTTCTTTAAAAATATTCTAGTCCCCTCAAAACCCACCACTGCATCATCGTCCTGGTGCCTCCCAAACAGCACACACTTACTTTTCCTGTGCAGAAACTCTGCAACGAGGGCTGCTACATGAACATAACACATGGCTGCCTGCAAAGTACAAAGGGAAAATTAAAACATCATCTGTACAGCTGTCTTGTTGTGCACATGTTTTTAATTACATGAATTACCTCTGAGAAGTCTCCGTTTTTCACATGTATCTTTGCCATACTGTCCAGCCATGTTTTCCGGAGCTCTGGGGTACTTGCGTAAGATTTGGCTAAACTGTATTGTAGATCTATCAACATTTCTGGATCCTTTTCATGTTCTTTCATTTGAGCGGTAGCCATAAGCACTGTACGGATTCTCTTTGTCAAATCTTTGACTTCAGAAGGAAAAGCAGTTGCCTGACAGAAAACAAATGTGATTAGAAGCAAACACAGAAATAAAGGGTGTTCCAGGCTTTGCCAAAGACCGTTGCTACCCTTCCAGCCAACACTCCACTTACTGCCAATCTGAAAACGCTGAGAACACAGGAGATAAGACTAACCATAGCTTTTACTTATTGAACTCAGACTGCATACAGTGCACGGTATTTCATATGCAATTCGAGGCAGTTCAATCAGGGTGTGCACAGGGCCAACCTCTCCTGGTCACGTGCAGAATGCCAGGCTGGCTGTCCCCATGCTAGAGTGAAGCAGGTACTTCGGCACTCTGAGGAGCTGGCGTGTGAGCATGACAGAAATGCTCCATGCGTGTGAATGTCCCAGGATGGGACTGTAAACCATGCCTGAAGTATTTTTCATTTCATTCAACATCCAGCTTCTTAGTCTCTGTTGTGGTCACTCTTCAATTCCTAAAGCACCAAAGGCATTTGTAGAGCTTCCCGCCACAGGAATGTAAAAACAGAGAAACAAACACAGGCTCCAGTCTGAAGCCCTTCTCAGAGCAGGGCCATGATCGGGTGAGAGCAAGGCTCGTCCAGGGACAGGAATCCCACCTCCATTCTGGGCCTTGCCCCAGGGCTCCACCATATTCTTGGGAAACAATTTTTTTTAAAGTAAATTTGGAATTTCCCATGTAGAAACTAGTGCCCATTGCCTCTTGACCTGCCACCCCACACCTCTCTGTAGAGCCTGACCTCACCTCTATAGCCTACCTTTTCAGTAGTGGAAAGCAGTAGTTAGGTCCCCCTCAGCTTTCTCTTCTCCATGATGAGCCCGGCTCATGTTCCCTCTCCTTGGGCTCCTGCTCCCTAGCTCTCTCTGTGGCTGTGCTTGGCATCCTCTCCAGTGTACTGCAATCTCTCTTGTACTTAAACTGGATATAATGATGATCTCATAATGTAAAATATGATCAGCGAAGTATGGCTCGGTGAAACCCTTATAAACATCCGTGTGCAGAAGAGAACCAAGGTTTTTTCCAGGTACATCCTAACTATAACTTTGTTATAGCACAATTCAACACCTGAGGATCACCTTTAGGTCACAGGATAATCACAGAACTGTAAAAACTCTCCTCATTTTCCTCTGTCCTACCTCAGCAGCTACACTGTGCAATGGAGCAAGCTGCAGTGATGATGTATTGTTCAATGGGTTTCGTAGAAGCTGTTAATTCTAGCGCAAAGACAGATGTTTATTTTCCAAAGAAATACAACCATTAATCTCCATGACAGAGGGCTTTCTTAATATAACTGACACTCAATTAATTAAAATTAATTCCTGCTAATTATTAGCTTCGGGCAACAGAAGTACTAGACCCTTCCTTGTGAATTCTCTCAAAGCTGGAAATTCTTGAAAAGCTCTTTGGACACCCTTGCAAGCAGCATGCTTTGCAAAGCGTAACCTGAACTGAAGAGCTCCCTCCTCTTGGCATGAGGCCTCACGGATGGAGCGTGACCTGTCTGTGCAGCTGGTCACATTGCTGTTGGGATAATACTTGTTTACTGAGCAAACACAGCCCAGTAGGAGCTTATAAATCACAGTTCCAATCATTAGCCTTACCCTTAAACACGATTTCCTTGAGTCTTGCATAAATGGCTGATGGCACATGATGTGATTTAATGTCTCCAACTTACCTTCATAGGCCTGTCACTGTTTGCAAAGTTGTTGATGATGAGCAAGGAGTCCTGAAACCTTGTCCCACCGCTGAGTGCCACATCTGCTATTAATTGGCTCACTGCAATTATTATCTGTTGGGATAGGGTAAGGGCTTTATTTAGATATGGCCTAATAGAGGAGCTTTACTGGCCCAGTTACATAAAACACTCATAGGAAAACATGACGTCTTTCCCACAGCGTAAGCAATGGTTGTTGTGGCTTTGCTGTCACATCTCCCAAGGACAAATACTCCCCAGAGGACCAAACTGCTTTGCTGAACAGCGATTCACGGAATTAACAATATAACGATCATAACACAAAGCCCTGTTTGTACATTAGTTACCTTCTTCTGTGATTCACTACAACCTAGACGGTATTCATCTGCCCCACTACGTACCTAAATCTGCTTCAAAAAGACAATGCTGCAAAAGCAGCTCCAGGAAAATCCCACCTCCTGCCTCAAAGGAGGCTATCCTTTCCACCCCATCCTGGCCAGCCTCTGGGGCGGAGATGTGTCTTGTGTGTGTGATTCCAAAAACTCAACAGCTCGGAGCACTTGATGGCACTGTATTGTACCCAGAGGGTCCCGGGTCAATCACCAGAAACAGGAATTAGGCAAAGCCTGGAAACCAATAGGATTTTTGTCCCCTCTGCAGATAGGAGGTGACAGAGTTATACTGATTTATCTGTTCATTAAACCTGAGGCGTCCTGCTCTCTACTTTTTTGCCCAGTCACTAACCTGAAGATGTGTTCTCAGAAATGTTCTCCTTTTGGTGAACTCAAAGTTATTTCTCATCAGGAGATACAGAAGAGCGGAGGCTTCATTCCTTGTGGAAGACACCTTAGAAGTGCAGCACTTCAGGATCTCGTAGCAGAGAGCAGCGCACATGTTCACCCTTCCCTTGAAAAATGCTGAGGGAAACTTCACAAGAGGCATACAAGAAAATACAAGATATATATAAATATATATCTTGTATATATAAATATACAAGAAAATACACCATGAAATTACATCCACAGAGCTCTGATGGGCAGGGGCATGTGGCAACACGCTGGGGTCCCACCTAGACAGCCTCAGCAAAACTTCTACCAGGAGTTTTGAACCTGAAAGTATTTGTGGGAATGAATTTGGGGCCTATTTTTAATCACATTTCCTACAACAATGTGAACTTTTCGGGGATGTGCTTGTGTATGTCCGCCTATCCTCTTCCCCAACAACTTTTGGGTTCACTGGCAAATTCTCACCGAATCAGATAGACTGAAGTTTTATGTTCTTACAGAAACCATAAACACAGGCAGCAGGGCAGAGAGGTGAGGTCCCATGGGTGTTCCCACTAAAGGCTGCCATCCGGGACATCAGAAAATCTGCCGGAGCCCATCCAGAAGTCTGACCCCACTGGGAAACATGACCTGTGATGCTCGCACAGCTACTTCTACATGTTCCCCCCCAAAAAGCCCAATATCGTAACTGCCCTCAGGAATGCAAACAAGAGACTTGCTTGTTCCAGAGACCCTAAAATACACAGTGACCCGCCCTGGCCCCCGAGACAGAGCTGTCCCCAGGGAGCTGCAGGATCAAGCCAAACCGCAGCGTGAGCTGCCTCGGTTAGCAAAGGGCTCAGAGATTTGCAGTGAGGTGAAGAAAAGCAGAAGGGGAAGACGTGCACCTCGCACTGCCATTGCATGTCTGTCACCTTACCAAACACCTCCTTCCGAGCGGGTCTGCAGGGGCAGGCTCAGCCGTGCCTGGAAAGCCGATGGCTGCTGTGGTGCTCTGCCCTGGCAGGCAGCAGCCTCCACGCAGGGCTTGCTGGAGCTGGGCATCGCCAGCACGCATCCATCTGCCCACAGTTGCGAGTGGTGGCTGGTGGGGAGGGGGCACTGCACTGGGCTTCCTCCCACCCCAGCCGCAGCGGGCTGGGCACAGGGAAGCAGAATAAGGAAGGGTTTTGTGCTGGCACGCAGCCGTCCCCACAGCCACCACAGAGACCTGGCTGGAGAGGAGTGCCAACACCTCCCAGAGGGAGCGGGGGCTGTTGGGGCATCGCACAGCAGCACTCTGCTCCCTGTGCTGCAGCTAGGAACCAGCTCCAGGGAATTTCCTGGCATGAAGAAGCAACAGGGGCAATGCTGTTAGTCTGTTCAGTGATGTGCTCAGTTCATTGAAGACCCAATGGTCCTCATGGAGCACAGTCCATAAGCCACTTGTAGCTGCCCCACTACCTTCTCCTCATGGCACGTGACAGTAAATACCATCAGAGTATTCACTCACATCCTAAGTTGGAGTCTGGAGCTGTTACCTTTACTCCTTGCATCAAGTATATATGATTCAAAAAAGCCTGTAGGTACTGCTGTGGCCACCACCATAGCCTGCTAGTGAAAAGGTTTCAAACAGAGATCTAGAAGCGGTGGCTAGCAAGATTACGCTGTTAGGATTACACTGAGCCACACATGTTACAAGGCAGTAGGAAGACACTGCCCAAATAGTTGGGTGTTCACTGCCTGTGGCCCAAAATATTTTCAGAAAAAGCAGGGAAAGAAAAGAAGCAAATAAACATCATAGTAACACGGGGCCAAGAGGATCATGTGTGTACTTTGGAAAGGAGTTGTTAAGTAATTGCTGCCTGTTGTAATGAAATCTTTCTCCCATAGCGGGATGGGATCACGCTCGGAACTGGGAATAGTCCAGAGGAGGCCACAGCGATGTGCGATTGGGCATCCCAGGCACAGGCAGCCCTAGGGCACCCAAGAAGATAGGGCTGGCACTTGCTCTCAGCAGGGACCACTGCCTGCCCACAGAGGCTTTTCAGACATTTCCAGTCCAATGCTAGGGAGAAAACCACCTGGGAATCTGCTGCAGAAGCAGCCCAAGATCATTTCCTGCGTGCTCCCCTGCCACCACACCAGCTCCAGAGAAAAGCCTGTGCCCTGCTCATAGGGAATCTGCATCCCTGTGCAGCTCCTTCTGGAGACCGAGCCCAGGCAGATGGAATTGCTCCTGGTGCCAGGGTTGGGACAGCAGACGCAAGGGCGTTTGCCTGTTGGATGTCTGGCCAGGTGCTGTCTGTGGCTCTACCGCTGGCAGGAGAACATGGCACGTGTGGTGATGACTCTGCTGGAGGAGCACGTTTCTGATCCAGCCCTAATACAAAGGGCCAGAGCAGGAGTCAATGCAGTGGGCAACTCCCAGAGAGGCCTCAGCACGGAAGGGATGTGAGGGCAGGGAAGCCACAGCGGCAGGCAGGACATGCCAAGTGCCCGTCACAACTGCATGGGAGGCTGTAATGACCCTGTATCCTGAGAGCACTGACAGGGAGGGAAAACACAGCTTGACATGGTCATGGGAAATTGCTAATAGACAGGGAAACGCTTCCCAAATCAGTTCTTGCAGGTAAGGAGCAAGGCTCTGCTGCCTTAGTCCTTCAGGGCCTGGGATTTGTGATGCCCCTACTGTGCCCTTGCTCGTGCCAACGCACCGAGGGACAGGCATGCAGGGAATGGGCAGCTACACGGGGTTTCCATCACTCTCACAGGCATGTGTCTGAGCTGGTCTTTTATGCAGTGCAAATTATCTCAGTGTATGTTCTCATTCGTAACCCTTAATTTCAAGACCATGCCCAAGCATGTAAATACGTAATTGTCCATAAGCGATGGTCTGAAAAGAAGGGTTTAGATGTTAGGACAACGTGGGGTACAAAACAAGAGCAATTTAGCTTGTGTTGCTTCTTCTAGGCTGGTAAAACAAAGACAGCTTTCTTCCTGAATTCCTAGCACACATGCATGCAAGCAAGATTCATTCTAAAACCAAAGCCAAATATGCAAACAATTATAGACCTTGTTTGTTCTTCGCTTTCTTGCAACATTTCTGGTTTTGAAGTCTTTTGCCTATCAAGTAACCAGAATTAATGCAGAAAGCAAGCTATTTTAAGATGGATTTTGGGATGCAGAATAAATCTCAGGAGTTTTTTCCTGAAACACCAACCATTTGCTGTGACCCTAGATAAGAAGGATTCTTTTCATTGTAATTATTAGCTATAAAAATGACAGATTGTCCATGCTGACTGTGTCAAAGGTATAATTCAGTTTTGGTTTTCTTGAAGTTAACACTAATTTATAACTAACAGTCATATGCAACCGAAAACAAAGCAGTGCAGCTTTCACATTTCAAAACAAACCCAGGAAAGCATGCCATCCTTGCACCTGTCATGAAATGCAGTGATCCCCTGGCTGTTTTATTGTCACTTTGGGCCTAGAAAAACTCTTCAGAGGACTTAAAAGGAAGTTTGGGACTTGTGGTTATGGAGTTGGCAAAGAAAACACTTCCTTATAGATACCATCTGCTGGGCTCATATCTTGCTTTTACAGAAGCAACACTGTGTCCTGTCATAGGGGAAATGTGAGAAATGAACTGAAATCAATGTTTCATATCTTTGAAGACCCACGATGGCAAATTCAGCATGGATTCAGGCTGGCAGAAATCCAAGAAAATGACCCTGGTGCCTGTCCTTGCAGCAGCCAAGAACGCAGCCTGCGTTGCGGTGATCGCGTTTCGGAGAGCGAGGGTGAACCCCTGAAGGGCTTGAAGGTTTTGGATCCTGATGGTGAGATCAAATTTAGTAGTTGTGCAGCTTTGGCTTCACAGTTAAACAACCAGAAACAAAAAATTTGCCAGGGAGACAAGGAAGGTCTCTTACTTGCTATAGGAACTAAACAAACCGGCTAAACAAACTTTTGATTAGCAAAGGGCAGAGACATGCAGAGAGACTGTGTCTGAGTGGGGGGCCTGCGGATGTGCAGCAGGATGGATCCCAAGGCTAAGCAGACCACAGGCAAGCAGAAAACTTAAAGGAAAGGTAGAGCAGGAAACATGTACTGGACCCTGTAGCAAAACGGAGTGATTCCTGCCAGTGCCAGCTGTCAATCTAGATGGATTTATGAAACCCAGTGGGAGAACATCTTGTAGGGGACCACGCTGTGTGGAGCCAGACAGTGAGCATTTTCTGCTTCTCACATATCTGCTTAAGACAACCCAAAATTCAGCCCTAGACATACTCATACTAGCTCTTAGCTTTGCTGTGGGGTTATAGTAAAGTGTGCATAGCACAGACTTTTTCCACCTTTGAGAAACAGTTCAGCAGTCTCTTTCTTCAATCAAACTTTGCTTGGCAACTAAGTGCAAGACCTTTGGAAGCAACACCTTGCTGCATGTCATTCACATACCGTGCTCTGCCTGGCTGCAGTCTCACACCACATGCATTTACCTCATTAATAAAGTGTTGCACTCCAGTGATTTGAGTTTTAATTAATTTTGAATTTATGATAGCCATGCAGCTTGGAAGGAAAAAGAGTTTGCATATACACCTGGTCTCAAAAATCACAGAATCATAGAATGGTTTGGGTTGGAAGAGAGCTTAAAGATCATCATGTTCCAACCCCCCTGCCATGGGAGGGGACACCTTCCACTAGACCAGGTTGCTCAAAGCCACATCCAGCCTGGCCAGGAATGTGCTTATGAGAAGCAGCAGGTTTTGACAAGCATGAAAGGAAATGTCAGCAACAGCATCAGTCACTGCTCTTATGCGATTAGCTACGGCTTTGACGCTACCTGAGCTCAGGGTATTAAACAGCCTAGCTGTACCAGGGCTCAGAAGAGTGCAGAAGTACTACCCACTTTCAAACACAGTGGGAGAAGAGCAGCTTGTCAGTACATGTATTATTCAAGCAATAGCATTGTCAGCAATATTGACAGTTTAGATCCAAGAAGCACCAACTTTTGCTTGAAGGGGCATTAATCTTTAAACAGCAGTTTTGTGACCAAGGCAAGTAAGGGAATTCCTCATGATTTCTCCTTTTGTTTACATTCAACAAAGAATAAATAATTGTTGAAACAGATAACCTAACTTGGTTTTTGAATCAGTGAAGAAGTTGTTTTCTAAAACACAATTCCAAACCACACAAAATATCAGTTTAACAGGAGTTCAAGCATACTGGTCTCTTCTGTCATACCTATATAAATCCTCCTGCACCTTTAGAGTCATGTATTACATACCTTGCTAATGAATGCTCTCAGAGAGGCGAACACATGCTTAAGAGCTGCTTCTGACTGCCCGTTTTTGAGAAAAGCCAGATGAATATCAAAAACCTTCTTCATGAGTGGATTGTGGCCATCGTTGCTTAAAAGTTGGGTCTGGAAAGCAACAAGAGATTTTATTTTGGAGAAATGTTACGCCTGAAGCTGGAAATGACAGAGATAATTTTGCATAATTAATCACATCAATTCTTAAGCCAGAGAAGGAACAAGGCCTTCATTAAAAATACAACCAATAAATGTGACAACCAGTTCAAACTTACACTAGTTGGTCAGAGGCTATTTTTACAGCAGAGAATAAAACAAAAATATTTTATCGCTTTTGCATCACTAATTCCAAAACCTAACTCAGTAATCTGTACAACTTTCACTGGTTGCCTAGAGTTATTTTAAATAAAACAAGCTGTTACCAACGTAACTATCACACTGTTTTTTTCCATTTCTTTTTATTTGGCTCAACAACTGTTTCATTTGCAGCCCAAAAGACAGAGAGAGAAAACACACACACAAAAAAAAAAAGACTATCGTATCTTTTCACTGGACAAATCCGCAGCTGTAGTAAGTCACTACACTTCCCTTGTCTCCTGCAAAGTTTTGAGAGAGATATGTCTGGAGATATGGTAAAAGGGGATTACTTGGAGAGCGCTAATGCAGTTTGGTGTCAGAGTTATCTTGCCTGCGCCTGCCATCATCCTTGCAGCCGCAGGAAGCCTGGTGCGTCGTGGCCACCCAGCAAGGATGTGGATGTCCCATATCGATAGGAGATCAATAGTCCCCATCTCATTGCCAGCCCAAGCCATCCTTGGGCTGGCTGAGATTTGCCTTTTGACATCCTGTACACATCTTGTAGCAGGGTAAGTTTAGGATCCATAGTTTTTAACTGAATTCGTTTGCTCTGTCAGTAAGAACAGCATCAGCACTTTTCCTGCAGTACAGAGCACACTTCTGTGCGGTAACACCCTATGACCATAAAAGCAAAGCAGAAGCCCATTAAAGCGGAAGGGAATCCAGTCTATCCTGTGGTTTGAAAATCACATTGTTTTGTGGTTCAGCCATATTCAAAAAGAGGCAACTGAGAAAGTCAAGCAAGTTTTAACCCTTGCATCTAAATCCTTCTGCTGTTGCCAGACTTTTAAGGAATAATCTCATGTATGCACCCGGATGGCTTTTTTGCTCTGTAACAAAAAAGAGCAAAGGATATGAAGCAGAGGATATGACGACCTTTCTCTTCATGTTGTTCAATACATCTAAAAAGGAAATCTTCCTTGTGCTTACTCTGAAATCTGGAGTTGCGACATTATGCAAGACACATCACTATGAGCAGGATTCCTCTAACTACACTTCAAGGAAGAGCTTTTCTAGAACAGTATTTCAGTATTTTGCTGCCAGCCTGGGGTTCACTTCACCACAGAGGCTTTGATTCTTGTAGATGGCAATGTCTGCTGGGACTGTGAGTCACTATATGGAGGAGAAGACTTCTGCCAGTGGTACTGGTCCTATCTGAACTGGTAACCACAGCTGGAATGCCTCAGCCACAGAGACAATTGTGTACAGCGATTCCAAGAAATTTGGGTCTCACTTCTAGGCAATTCATGGTATAAAACAGTGACTGTTCTGAAAATGCTAGACCTTCATTTCCCTTTCCTCTAGTCCCTCCTTTCTATATGACGTACATTTCCCCTTATTCTATTTTTGTAATGCCTACACTCATGGTATAACATCCACGCAATTTTCTCTGGTCTTGCAGTTTTGAAGAAATTGCAAGATGGCATAAGTGTGTAATTACTCTGAGATCCCGTGAAACGCTCAGCATTCTGGAAAATAAACAAGCTGCAAACCATTTGCTTTCGTAAAGCCTTTCATAATCTGCCATTCCAGGAGAATGGATCACCAATATCAACACACATACAGAAATACAGCACGCTTTTCTGCAATACTTTTGGTTTCAATGCTGACCTTGAAACTCTGAGTGAAGAAAGAGATGGTGTCCAGGACTGTCAGGCACACTTCGGTAGCAATATTGCCCTCCAGTAATGCCTGGTGCACAATGTCTGCTTCTGAGGTGCCTGCATCTGCGTAAGGAAAGCCAATCAGAAGGAAACAGTGTTCAACACCCCAGCTCCCACAAGATCTAAATGCTGATATAGATAAAATTCTCCTGTTGCACCTCCCTGGGTTTGGGAGATGAGGGAAGAACAGCAGATGCTGAATTTGCCAGCTCTGTTCAGAGAAGCTGGCTCAGCCTCACGCCGACTGGGAAAACCAGTGTCAGTATTCCCCCTTAATCCCACAGTTATTTAAAGCCAGCCAGAGACTGAGGTGTCCAGGTTGTATTTGCAAAGGGGAAACAGCAAGGTGCTTCAATGGGGCAAAACTCACCCAGGTGGAGAGGCTTAGAGCAGATCCTGGCTGGGGTCTCTGAGCAGGGCTGAACACAGCTGCCCCTCCCGCCCCAAGGCAGCTCTCCTGCCTTCCCATGCTCACCACCCAAACCAAAGCATCACCTGCACACACACTCAGCCAGGGAGCTGAGCCAAGACAGGTGAGAGGAAAATCCCACGCAAGTCCTAAATCCAAGGGGTGATTTTATACCAATATAGGAACGTTGCAGG